GTCCATGCCGCTCTATATAGTGATGTAGGCGTGAGGGCGGAGATGGTCCATTCCCATTTAAAGTCAGTGACAGCGGGTTAGGGCGATCATGTAGAGACATTAAAACTGTGATGACATCATCCAGAACCAAGATGGCCGCGGTCAGAGGCAGGTGGTGTGTGAGGCTTCCACTAACCTGGAAGAGTTTGGCCCCAGGGATGGAGGGAACACTTTCCTCGCTGTAGGTCAGGTTGTTCTCCTGGAAGAACTGTCTGATGGCCATCTCAGAAATCTCCACGCCAACCACAGAGTGACCCAGATCCGCCAACCTGAGTCGGGTCAGACAAAGAGGCCGACCATCAGAACCAGGAGATTCCCTCCTGCAGACAGGATGAGGAGGAACCAGATGTTCTTACCACTTCATGTCCACAGCTTTGCCACACAGAGGGAAGAAGAAGCGGACGCCGCTCCGACCGTTCACCACCTTATCGTAGTTGTTCTGCAGCATCCTGTCGGAGAGCCGCCGCTGTCAGACCATCAGACCCCGACAGGACAGGAAATGGAACCAAACCCACTGACCAGAGAGCAGCTTTGACCCCCTGGCTCTCCATACTCAACATCAAACCTACTTGTGGACCTCCAGCTGATGGAAGCCAGTCCTATTCTCCTGCCAGCGCTGCTCCCACTCTGACAGCTCCATGGTGCGATTTGCCTGCTGCTCCAACATGCTGCTGAAGTTCCTCTGGGCAAGGCTGCAGCAGGAGCACACAGCCAGTCAGGGTCGTTCAGACAATCACAACCAGAGACACGGTCTGGCCCACAGAGGGATCTCCCCACTCCCACAGAGGGAGCAGCTCACAGACAAAATATCAGAGTGGAACCACTGATCTCTGTTTAGTCACTGGACTGCTGAAGGCCACCGTCAGCCATGTTGGTACTCCCCACCCCCACAGAGGGAGCAGCTCACAGACATAATATCAGAGTAGACGCCACATCCATCGCTTTCACCTACGGGAGCTGACGTGATGTGGCGGCGCCATCTTGGGAAGGTCAACAGCTCCGCTCAGTGTGACGTGATGCTGGCACAGAATCAATTTTAATCAACTTTAAATTTCTGAACTAATTTTCACAGTTTTGTTTTTTGCTGAAAATAAACAAATGGTTCATTTTATTATAATATTCTTATATGATTATTAAATATTATTAGTAAAGAGTAATAGAATATTCTGATAGGATGGATGCAAAGCAGCCACTCATACTTTTATTACTATATACAGAAACGTATTTATATATCGATGCACAAATATACATCCACATATATCTCAGTATCTCTATATAACTACACTGTAAAAATGTCTATAGCCGTATATTATCTATTCTAAAGATGCACAGTATTTAAATTTGTACACTAAAGCATATTATTTATTTATATTTTATGTGAATTTTATTTTTACCCATGTTTTATATTTATAGCGTTTTATTTATTTCTCTTCAGCTCTTCGGTCAGCTGTGGTTGTTTTTAAGTACTTAAATAAAATTGGATAGAATTTCTAACTCTGTCACTTATTCTATTATTTTTATGCACTTTTTAAAGTTCCGCCATTGTTTGACGACTTCAGCTGCTGGCAGAATTTCCCCACTGTGGGACGAAGGGAGTTTCTATTCTATGTAGTCTATATCTGCTGTTTATTCAGTAATGTCTCCAAAGCTCTGATGCCTTCAGGAAGTTCTCCCTCCAGCCATGACGTCATCAGTCTGTAGATTTAAACTAAAAGATGCTGCAGTGCTGAGCCATCCTTCTGTTCTGCTTAAAGCTGCAGGTCAGGGGAGCAGGTCGACCTCCCCAAGATGGCGTCCCTAATTTCTACGCTGCGACAGTCATTGCAGGGTCTACTCTTAGATGATGTCAGCAGCTGCTCCAGTGCATTGATTCACTCTCTACTGGTTTAACTGGGATCTGGTTTCCCTCCGAGGGCCAAAACCTCCTGGGCGGAAGTGAAGCTCACCTGTGCGCGGCCACGTGACTCAGCAGCAACCAGATCGCACCTGAGACCAACATGTTGGACCGGAAGCTCACCTTTCTAACAGAAACCAGCTGCGGGGGTCCGAAGGAGTCAGTATGAGTCAGAAGGAGTCAGTATGAGTCAGAAGGAGTCAGTAGGAGTCAGAAGTCCAGCTCACAGCTCCCCGCTTGTCCTGTAGATCAATCTGGACTGTCTGCTGCTGCTTCCTGTCAGGATTGCTCCGCCCACAGCTCCGCCTGGCAGGACTGTGGCGTTTCTATCCAGCGGAGCTCCACCGGAAGCGGAAGTAGCTTTTCATTGACTCGATCTAATTTTCTGAAGTGGGACGCTTTCAAGATTTAAAAAATGTAGTTTTATCTTAGCTTCCTCTCTAAATCTCACCTTTCATCAACAAAACTTCCTGTATTCACAAGAAATACAACATCTGAACAAATACCGAGATAAATATAAATGTATTGATGCTGCAACAGCGCC